GCCTCGGCCGGCTCGTGTCCGCCGGCTCTCGCGGCTGCTCCGGGTTCGCGCTTTACGCGAGGCCGCTGCCGGTCCCGGGGTGCAGGCCGCAGGGCGGGGCGGCCGCTGCGGATCCCCAGAGCTGCTGTCGCCCCTGAGCTCCTGGCCTCTCCTTCCCAGGCTCCGCCGAGGGGAGCCGGAGACAGCCAAGCCAAGGGCAGGTGGAAAGGCGACGTCCGCGGGTAGGACTGAACGTCCCCTGGCTGCCGCATCCTTAGTACCCCCTCCGACGCCGCCGACCAACTTTTGTGAGGTGTTTTGACTCACGTTGGAGGAATCTGTCGTGGAAATACCCAGTTTCAGTATTTGGAGGCGAATAGGATTAGAGACAGAAAGCGAATGTCCTGTAACTAAACTAGTTGTGCTGTGTACTTGAGAACTAACCAGGATTTGTGGGGTGGACTGCTGATATGTCCGAATTCACGCAGAGAATTTCTTTCCTTCATTTAATGTTCCAGACAGTCCCCGCCTCCAGTTGTTTTCTGGTGCATTAAAAACAATGCAAAAAAAAATTAAAAAAAAACAACCCGACATTATCAGTTGTCTAATAGTAAGGCAAGTGTGACACGAATTACTGGATTCTATACATAGTATTTATTCTAAATGTACCTTGATGATTTGTCGGAGAAGAAACTCTCAGCTCTGACTAATAAACCCCAGGCTATTGATGATCCGTGAACTAGAACTCTTGCTGATTTTTTTTTTTTTTTCTTTCCCACGCTGCTTCTTAGTTTGGACTTTTTAAGTGTAACATCCGTATGGGATGTTGTGAATCTTTGATTAGAAAAAAAATTCAGAATATAGAAATGAAAAGCCCAAGGATTTTGACGGAACAGAATGTTGTTAGCTTGAATACTGGCAAGCAAGTGTCCTTAGGGACCGAATGTAGAGTCCGTCATGCTTTAGGGGAGTCCTTTACATTTGGCCATATGCCTGTTCAAGAATGACGTTTACACGGCTGAATTTTAATGGGACCACGTTCTCTATCTTCATCCCATCACTTAAAACCTGAAGTTAAAAAGAGCCAGAGAAAGTTGAAATGCTGGAGCTTTCCCATTTTGATGCAAGAATGGTTGAATTAGTTGGACTTGAAAAATAAAGCTGTGTGGTAAGTTGTACAGTACTCCTTAGTCACATGGTTGCTCAAGATCAGCAGAGGTGAGGTACTTGGGCGAATATCCAGAGAACAATGCCTCAAGAAACATTGTCAGGAAATTGCTCAATCTTTTTTTTTTTTAAAATAATTTCTTTTTATTTATTGATTTATTTTTTAAATGTGCACTGGTGTTTTGCTTGCATGTATGTCTTTATGGGGGTATCAGATCCCCTAGAACTGGAGCCACAGAGAGTTTTGAACTGGTTGGTAGGTGCTGGGAATTGAACTCAGGACCTCTAGAAAAGCAGCCTTAACCTTTGAGCCATTTCTCCAGCCCCAAATTGCTCAATCTTGATAGGTTATTGTACTCGAGGTTATGATAAAATTTAAGCAACTTTAGAAATTAATATATTTCTAGCTAGGTATGGTGGTATGTGCCTTTAATTCCAGCATTTGGGAGGCAGAGGTAGGCAGATCTTTGTGAGGTCCAGCCTGGTCTACATAGTGAGTTAATAAATTTCCAAAGTATGTTGAGCTTCGGTTGACTTTTCTATCTCTTTATAAATTCTATCCTCTTTTTGGTTTCCTCAAAGATGATGGCATTCTAAAAAGAAAGTTTTAAAAAATCTTTCCTGTTGGTATAGACAATTTTGATATAATAGAGAAGGTGAATTAGATGAACTGTAGTATTTGTTAAAATGTTGAGAAGCCTGGTGATAATGCTTGCTTTGTTTCCTTCTCCAATCTTTGTTATTTGTAGATTAATGACTATGGGAAAGGAAGTAATGTAAACATCTCATTTCCTATCTGCTGGGGTTGGGTTATCTCAGAGAGATGGATGGAAAATTTAAGCGAAGACAATACAGTTAAAGGTTAAATGTTGTATTGTGTAGATGGTAACTTTGTTCAGCTTGTAGAGGTATCCTGTTTCTACCAGGAACCTGTTCGTACTGTTGGTGTCCCTGAAGCGTGAGGACGCTAGTCAGACTTCTCACTCCACTCTAGTCAGACTTCTCACTCCACTCTAGTCAGACTTCTCACTCCACTCTAGTCAGACTTCTCACTCCACTCAGAGCCATCTCAATTGTATGCATAGAACTGTAGTGATTGAACGTTTTCACAGATTTCACACAGACTGAAAGTCTCATGAGCTATGAAAACAAAACTAGTCTGTCGCTGAGATATGCTCAACTCTGGAGGCAGCTTCAGTTTCTTGGTAGCGCCTTGACGTCTACCCCGTGTGGTGGACGGTGTCACTGTCATCACTAGCTCCGTTAACACACAAACTCCATCCCTTCTCAGATTGACAGTGTTACAGCAGTAACAGCACTTTGCTGGATGAGGTCACTCAGGACTTGAGCCCCTTAGGCTCGTGTGCGTTTCCCCTGAACCACTCTCCAGATGTTATGTCTCTGTCCCTGTTGGATCCTCTGTTCGGAATGCTTTCCATTTAATCCATCTGAAATTCCTGTTACTTCAAGCTTCTAGAAGGTTTAGCCTTCTCGGCTTCCTTAGGTAGGCTAGGTAGTCCTTAAACTTAGCTCATACCTACTCAATATGTCATTGCCTTGTAATTTTTTTCAAGTCTTCTAATTGCTCTAAGCTTGTGGAGGCAGGAAGTTAGTCTTTTTCTCTCTCCATTCAAACATTCTTCAAATGTATTTTGTTTTAGTTTTTTAAATTATTTTAGTTTTATGTGTAGGAATGTTTTGCCCGAATTCGTCTGCATGGTGTGTGTGCCTGGTGCCCACTGAGGGCAGAAGAGGGGGTTGACCGGCTGGAACTGAATTATCCTCCATGTGGATGCTGGGAATCAAACCTGGATCCTCTAGAAGAGCAGCCAGTGCTCCCAGCTGCTGAACCATCCCTCCAGCTCTCTGTTTGTTTTAGCATTTATGTATTTAGTGTGTGTCACCACGACACTCAGGGAGATCAGAGGACATCTCACTGGAATCAGTTGTCTCCTCCTCATGTGGGACTCAGAAATCAAACTCATGTTGTCAAGCTTGTCATGTCGGTGACAAGTGCCTTTACCTACTGAGCATCTCTCTGGCACATCTTCAGACTTTTTTTTTAAAAGTAAATGCCTTTGCAGCGTTTTTGTAAGCAAAAACATTAGTTCTTAAACTTTTTCTAACATGCCTTCTTTCTGAGAACAGGCAGTTGGTGGGAACATCATTTAGGGTTTACATTTTAAATATACCTGCCTCCTGAAATTTACTGTCTTGGGAACTGATGATATTAAGATAGGAACTTTCCGAGAGAAATTGATGTTTGGAAGACATTGGCCTATAAAAGATCCCTTTATTTGTACGTTTTTGGTTCCAAATTTGGTGTAAGTTCAGTGAACCAGCTGGGCAAAAGAAGAGGGCAAATGCTGGGGCCCATGGAGCCTAAAGTCTTGGTCCAGAGAGACCAAAAGCCTCCGTAAAAGTAAGACTTAAGAGCAGGAAAGCAGCTGTCATTCCCTCTCGTGACCGATGTCGTCCCCCAGAGTCAGAGAGCTCTAGGAAATAATCCTGCAAAGAAAGGAGCAGGGGTGGAAGCAAGAGAGGGCTGTCAGGAGGAGCAGGCCAGTTACCTGGCCCTAGTCGTCCAGCGGCACTGTGTACCTCGACATTCCGTAGATTCCTTAGGAATAATGTTTTATGTAGCTTTACAGCAGGAATGTGGTGATTAATTTCTGTCTTGATTACTTTTCTGTGGCTGGGATCAAATGCTCTGACAAAAGCAATGTGGGGAGACTGGGTTTATTTTGTCTCACAGTGCATTGTAATGGGGAAGTCATGGCTGAACCATCTTGAGGCTGTAGTCACATGGCATCTAAAGTCAAAATGCAGAAAGAAAGTAATGAGTGCTTATGTGCAGCTCACTTTCCATTACACACACACACACACACACACACACACACACACACACACACACACACGGGTGCAGGGTCCTAGCTTAGGGAATGGGGCCATCCCACAGAGGGTGAGTCTTTCCACTTCAATAATCAGATCAAGGTAACCTCTTGTGATCATAACCAGAGCCTTGTCTCCCAGGTGATTCTGTATCTCATCAAATTGACAGTTGAAACTAAACCATAATACTGGGTTGTCAGCCTGACGGTATCTGGAATACCTTGGAGGTGGACCTCTGAGCATTTCCTGTGAGGGATTATATAGATTAGGTTAATGTTATCTGTGGAGGCACCATTCCATGATCCAGCTCTGGATTGATATAAAAAGGAAACATGAGCTGAGTTCTAGCTCTCCTCTCTCTGTTTCCTGACTGTGATGTAGTGTAACCAGCCAGCCTAAATGATGCTCCCAACTGCCTGCCTGATTCTTTACCATTCGAAGAACTGTACCTTGTGAGCAAGGATAAATGCTTCTTTAAATTACTTTTGTCAGGGTGTTTTATTACAGCAACAGGAAAAGTAATACAAGAAGACTTCAGTCCTTTTCCTTAAAAATTATTATATTTGTACTGGCTGATTTTATGTCAGCTTGACACAAACTAGAGTCATAGAGAGGAAGAAGCCTCAGTTGAGAAAATGTCTTCTTAAGACCCAGCTGTAAGACATTTTCTTAACTAGTGATCAGTTGGGGAGGGCCCAGCCCATGGTGGGTGGTGCTATCTCTGGGCTGTTGGTCCTGGGTTCTATAAGAAGGTGGGCTGAGCAAGCCAGTAAGCTGCACTTCTCCATGGCCTCTGCCTCAGCTCCTGCCTCTAGGATCCTGCCCTGCTTGAGTTCTTGTCCTGACTTTGGTGATGAACAGCAATGTGGAAGTGTAAGCTGAATAAACCCTTTCCTCTCCAACTTGCTTTTTAGTTAATGGTGTTTCGTTGCAGCAATAGGAACCCTAACTAAGACATTACTGCTGCTGCTACTACTACTATTATATTATTACTGTGTGTGCAGGCGTGCATGAGCCAGGGTGAATGTGGAGGTCCTGTGTCAGATCGGTTTTCACCTTGTTGCTGTGGACTCTTCCTTGCTGTTCCTGCTGTGTGCTCTAGTTGGCTGCAAGCTTCCAGGTGCTCTTCTTTCTCCATCTTGTCTTATCACAGTGGTGCGGGGTTTACAAACATGCATGCCACGGCCACTAGCTTTTTACGGGAGTTCTGGGGCTTGAACTGAGATCTGATGAATCATCCTACCAGCCTTCAGCCCCTCTCCATGGGCCTCTAGGTGGAAGGCCTTTGCACACGGACCTTTTCAACCAAAATGGATATGTATTGTTTATTTTTCATACCATTAAGCTTTTTTTTTTGAATAAAGAATTTTGTCTTGTCAAGTTCATTTAAAAAAACATTACCAGTCACAGTTCCAGATTCTTTGGAAGAGAAACGATGGAAACTTGAACAGTCATTCATCAGTTTGCATACTTTCTGTTCTGAGCTCTGAGGAGGCCACAGTGAAGTAGAGCCTTGCAATACTTAGCAGAATAGACGGGGTTAAACAGGTGCTGCAGGTCCAGTGTCATGACAACCAACATGACTGGCTGTTAGAGTCATTTAAAGAGGATGCCTAGTCTCTATCCTGTCTCAGGCACTTTGATTTGCCCAGGTAGAATCTCTAGTCCCTCTGAGGAAGGACAGGTAAGTGTCAAATGGGACCTTCCTGAAGAAATTACTTAAAGGCCAGGCATGGTGATGCATGTCTTTAATCCCAGTGCTCAGGACGCAGAGGCAAGTGGATCTCTCTGAGTTCCAGGCCAGCCAAGGCTGCATAGTGAGACCCTGACTCAGAAAATAAAACCAAAATGAAACAAGACCGCAATAACAAAAGGCATTGCTTATATGTGGGAGCCAGTCTAGATGGCGATGGGCGTCAGAACAGCGTTGCAAGCTGAGAAAACACTAATAAGGAGGCCTGGAGTAGAGAGAAGGTGGGGCATGTCTGATAAATGACCAAAGTTGAGTGTCTAGAATTTGGAGGGAGAGGTTGTGTCAAATGTGTATGTTGTAATACAGATGTTTTCATGGTGTTAATACTGACTGCCTTCCAACTCTAAGCTCCTTGATGACCCAGAGTTTGAAGATTGTAGCTGTTCCATTTAGCTCCTACTAAGTATCTGAAGTATTTGATGAATGGATACATTCCCAATTATAAGGATTCACTTCAGAGTAGGAGATGGAAAAGAATCTTAACAATTAGGAAGTAGAACAGTGACTCAAGAATGTAGTTTTTGTTGTTTGAAACAGTCTTGTGTTTGAAACAGGCTATGTGGCCCAGGCTAGCCTCAACCTTGAAATCTCCCTGTCTTGACCTCCTAAGTTCAGGGGCTACAGGTGTGTGCCATTACTCCTGGCTAGGAACTTTCTTTTTAAAGTCTAGATTTAAAAAATCCTAGGCACAAATGAAGTAGTGTGGAAAGCAGCACCAGATTGATCTGGGTCTTGTGTGGGAGTTGCTTCCTGTTAGCCTGTTTCTACCACACTCGAACTTCTCCTTTGTGTGGTTCACTTTATCTCCTCTACCTGTCCCTACCCATCCGTAGAGTTATCTGCTTCTATTTGTTTGTTTTTAAACTACCTGATTTTCTTTCAAGGGCAGATACCTGACCTCTGTTTTCTTCTGTCTGCTCTCTGTAGACCAGGCTGGCCTCAAACTCACAGAGATCCACGTGCCTCTACCACCTGCTGGGATTAAAGGTGTGCACCACCACACCTGGCTAGAAAGGTTTTTACTAGCCTGTGCTGATGACTTGGAAAAGCATGTTTTAAATATCTCCATTTTATGGATTTTCTTTCAGCTGTTAAGCGATTGATGAAAGAAGCAGCGGAATTGAAAGATCCAACAGATCATTACCACGCTCAGCCTCTGGAGGTTAGTGTTTGTCTCTGTCCAGAGTACTGCTGGACTCTGTCTAAGATGACTCAGAACTACATTTCCATTGCTTTGAGTTGTTGATGTGTTTCGGTTGTTTATTGATGTGCTTTTTTCTGTTGTGTGAGTGTTTCATTAGCCTTTCGTCAGACTCCTTAGGCAACCTGACCCAGGGACTCTGTGAGTGCATTTCAGATGCTAACTTAGGGTTAGTGTGGAGTGGGGGGCAGTAGAAAGAACTCATCACACTGCACTGTCTCTCTGCAGCTACCCTAGGCTTTTGACACAAGCATCTCTACCTCTGTCTGTCTGTGAAAGGACGATGCTGACTGTGCATAGTCAGGTTTTCATGATAATAGAGAAGACATAATATGATGTGTAAGAACTTGGCAATTTGGAAAGGAACTTGGTAACTGTATAATGACATATAGCCAGTCTGTTAATATTACTAACCAGTTATACATAAGGAAGAATACTTTTTAAAGATTTGTTAAGACAGCTTAAATTTATACTAATGATTTGACTATTTCCACTAATTGATATTTTTGAGGCAATAATTTCCAATTTAATTAAATAAATCTTACTTATGAATATATAATTGGACTTAGAAATTTTTAATTTTTAAATTTAAATTTTAGATCAAAGGAAATATTTGATTTGAAAATATTTTAACTTTTATGAAGCAAATTTATATTAAATAACACCTTTTTACTTATGACTTGAGGCATTTTGAGCATTTAGAAACTGTTAGCACTATTAGGAAGTGTTTGATTCTCCTCACCTGACATTTTTAATGTTACTGTTAATAAAAAACGATAAAATGTTTAAATGTTCTTGATCCTGTGGGTTCTTGCTTTTGTGTAGGATAACCTTTTTGAATGGCACTTCACAGTTAGAGGGCCCCCAGATTCCGATTTTGATGGAGGAGTTTATCATGGACGAATAGTGCTCCCACCAGAGTATCCCATGAAACCACCAAGCATTATTCTGCTAACGGTAAGAGCTCTTGGTTTTGACAGTGCATGCAGGTTAACTTCTCCAGCCATCTGCAAATGCAGTCAGCATATTTATAAGAAATGAAGTAGAATATTGTTCTGATTTTGCCTTCAGAGCCTGGGCCATAGAAATGCAGATTTTTTTCCTCAGAATAATTCCGAGGAAGCTGATGCATCTATGAAGTACTGGTGATACTAGTTTATGTGTAAATGTCACCGCACAGTTGTTAGGAGTCAGTGAATTAATGTGTGAGGAGTGCTAGGCATGCTGCATGTGGTGAGTGCTACTGTGAGTACAGCTCAGAGTCACAGCCTCTCCAATTTTCTATCCATCTCATGTCATCTTCATAAGTTTCTTCATATTTGCAACAAACTATAATATCTGTCTCACTGATCTGACATGGAAATGAAAGATCAGCATCCTGTAATAGCTCTTAGAGTGGGGCCTGCCATGGACACCTTAATAAATGTTATTTTATTTCTGTTTATATCTCAGAATTTCTACCTTTGTGTGTTTTCTTTTCATGTGAAAGAAGACTATTGATATATTAACTCTCTTGTTTGCTAAACTCTCCTACCCTCACTCAGGTTTAGTTCTCTCCTAACCATGAAAAATGCAGCGCGCGCGCGCGCACACACACACACACACACACACACACACACACACACACACACACAGAGACTTTTTTGTTGCTTTGTTTTTCTCTTTGATAACTTTACTCTTGTGTAGGCTATTGCAGTCCAGTTTCAGGAATGTTCTCTGTTGAAACATTCTTTTTCTACTTATCTGAGAACTGCCAGGGCTTCTTAGTCTTTATCCTGTTCCATCTAAGTCCTCCTATCTGACTCAGAGGGTAGCGCTCTGTGACAGGAGGTGTTATCCGTGACAGCAGACTAGCGCAGCTGCAGCTGTCCTCTGGAGAATACAAGGCATTCGTGTTAGGGTCACTGGTCAGGGTCCTGACTAGCCCTTTCCATCTCACCGCATGTAGGTTATGTATTGTCTTAGGAATTTAGTTTTGTTTCTGTCTAATGGGATGTTGTTTGTGGCAAATACAGCTGCATCCTAAGTTCCTGGCCTGTAGAAGCTGCACAACAAGCATTGGCCGTTTTGCTAATTGTTGGTGTTGGCATGAAGGCCGGGGCAGCCCTTCAGGCTCCTGTGTCAGGACTCATTTCAGTGAGCGGGGAGAAACAAGCAGTCTGGAGAAAGGGGCTGATATGTGTGGGGGACGTGTGTGCGTGTGCAAGCTCAGTAGGCAACAGCTCTTTACCAGTAGTTAACCAGGGGATCAGTTGGATTTACCACACTGAAAAGCAGCCCTGCCCTCCTCAGTGGTTGCCTTCTTGCTTGCTTCCTCTCTTAAAAAGTGTCACTTTCTACTTGCTGCAGCAAGTGTTTACTGACCATGACCCAGGCGTGTTGACGAGGCAGGACTGAGTCAGCCTCCGACCAGTGGAGTGCTGCTTCTGCCTTAGTGCCTTTTCCTTTCTCACCTTCTTCCTCGATGTTGTGGCTGCTTCCCCTGCTCAGGATTGCTGCTGCTTTTTATCTGTGTGAAATAACTTCAGTGGTCACCTCTGACAGGAGAGGTGCCGAGTCTCTTCATCTTCTGCTTCTACCTTCCTGCTACATGTCATTGGTAGCTTTCCTATCAAGCCATCAGACCCATGTCCAAACCAATTCATTATCAGAAACTTTTGTGGTCCACCCCCTCTAGTCTCTTTCTCAGGGGTCCAGAAGAGATGCTACCAACAGTGAGAATAATCTGAGGGAATGAATTTAAGTACACCGAGTTCCACAGTCCATTTACTTTGTTCCTCTGAGATAAGATTCTATCTACACAGCTTCAATTCTGTTCTTAGGCTTAGCTCCTCTCTGTCTCTTCTCCTCCTGTCCTGTCCTAGTTCTAACTAAGCTCTTTTTGCCTCGTCCTATCTTCATCTTCATTTCTCTCCATCTTGGTTCCTTCCTGTTCCTCTCCCGGAACTGGTCTATGACCTGGCAAGCAGTAACTCTCACAATACAATGCAAGGCTTCTGAGGTCCCCAAAAGGGCAGTGAATGGAGGAGATGGGGTCAAATAAGGCCTGGAATTTCAAATCTGAAAGGGAATTTATGTGCTCAAAATATATTCTTATAAGTGGTTAGGTGAAATGTTACGAGTCTATCATAAATGTGCTCAAACTGCAATCTTACAGGTGGGTAGGTAAAAGAGTCTGTGAACCACTAAAATGTAACTGCCTCTCGATTTCTATGTTGCCATGTACTGGCAGGGCCCTAACTGCTGGGAGCTAGAAACCTGCCTCTTAGCTGCACTGCACCTGGTGTGCAAAAAGCCCTTTTGTTCTGAGTTAGTTACTCGGGAATGCTGCTTGGGCTTTAAGAGGAAGGAGGGTCTGAGCTTCATTTGCATAAGAAACAAAGCTATGCACCTAAATTCACCTGTCTCCTAGACCTGGGAGTTTACATTAATTCAAGAGACTCAGCAATTGGTCTAAAATGCTTTGTCCTTTCTGCTTTTGGTTTTGGATGCTAGAGAAATATATCAGATAAAATATACTGTTAGAAGTTCTTGGGGAAGGTATGAGAGCACATAAGAAATTCATAGCAGGAAACAGCTGATACATTAAAAGCCGAATAACACCAAATACTCCTTGAGATTTGGGTTCCTATGGAAGAATTCCCTGATTTTTCCAGGTATAGCTTCACCATATTCATGTGAATTCTTACTACATTCCTGTGACTCGTAGTAATTCATGGTCTCTGCTCTTCCTTGACTACATTCTATCTAATTAAATGGCATCAACCTTCTGAAAAACTGCTCCTGTCTCAAAGTCTCCTCTCCAACTAGTCAAGTGACTTTGGCCTCTTACCTCTTACGTGTCTTCTCTTTATGAAAACCTAGGTCTGTAGTAGGCACAGGGCATAGCATCAGTAAATCTTTACATGCTAATTATTTAAATTCCAATCATACTGCTCAGTCTCAGAAAGGTGCTAATACACTCTCTAAAAAACAGTCTTTATTATTTATTCAGCATTTAACAAATATTTTTGTATGTCTATAAGAGGACAAAAAAACTGTGTCTCTTTATTAGAGTTTAATTCTCTTAAATATTCTTTAAAATTATTATTCATATATAAATATATCTATTTATTCTTGGAAAGCAGAAGGCATTAGATAGGCTTTTGCAGTTTTTAAAATGTGTTCTTTATTTCTAAGGCTAATGGACGATTTGAAGTAGGCAAGAAGATCTGCCTGAGCATCTCAGGGCATCATCCTGAAACCTGGCAGCCTTCATGGAGCAGTGAGTATTAGTGAATATAAGCTCCCATCATTGTATTCAGTTCATAATAATGAATTATAATACACTTTTGAGAATAAAGATGTTTTGGATAATATGTGATACCATTGAAAAATTAACAAAAATACTTTTCCATGTCTAGGTTAGTGCAGTACTTTAATAACCTCTCACTTGGATTTCCTGAAACCTTCAGATCTTTTTGTTTTTTCCAAGTGAATCTAGTTCCCTTTAAAATTTTTATTGTGTGCAGATGTGTATGGAGGCCAGCAGTTGTTGTGGGCTGTCTTCCTTAATTCACTTCTACCCTATTTTTTGAGGCAAGGTCTCTCTGAACCCGGAGCTTGCACATTTTGTCAAACTTGCTGACCAAGCAAGCCCCAAGGAGCCCCCTGTGTCTGCTTCCCTAGAACCAGTTAGAGTGTGCACTGCTGTGTCTACCTGATCTTTTTTTATTTCTTAAAACAATCACAGGGAGCATGGGTGCTGTAGACCAAGCCTGGGTCCCTGTGCTTACACTGCTGAGCTGGTTCCTACCTCAGTTCCTAACCCAGCTCCTACTCCAGCCCAGCTCCTACCCCAACCCAGCTCCTACCCCAACCCAGCTCCTACCCCAACCCAGCTCCTACCCCAACCCAGCTCTTACCCCAACCCAGCTCCTACCCCAGCCCAGCTCCTACCCCAGCCCAGCTCCTACCCCAACCCAGCTCCTACCCCAGCCCAGCTCCTACCCCAACCCAGCTCCTACCCCAACCCAGCTCCTACCCCAGCCCAGCTCCTACTCCAGCCCAGCTCCTACTCCAGCCCAGCTCCTATCCCAACCCAGCTCCTACCCCAACCCTGCTCCTACCCCAACCCAGCTCCTACCCCAACCCAGCTCCTACCCTAACCCAGCTCCTACCGTAACCCAGCTCCTACTCCAGCCCAGCTCCTACTCCAGCCCAGCTCCTACCCAGCTCCTACCCCAACCCAGCTCCTACCCCAACCCAGCTCCTACCCCTTTCACTGAATTGATGTTCATTTTCTGTTTCAGTAAGGACAGCATTGCTGGCCATCATTGGTTTTATGCCAACTAAAGGAGAGGGAGCCATAGGTTCTCTAGATTACACACCCGAGGAGAGAAGAGCACTTGCCAAAAAGTAAGTTCCGTGTTAGGGCTGAGTGGTATTAGTGGTTAAGGATCCAAACTTAGCATTGTACAAATCCAGTTCTGCCAATTTCCTTGGAGTGATCAGAATATAAAAAGCGATCTTATGATATTTTTTACAGTATTGTGGATCAGTCCCGGGGTTCACTTCATGTCAGGCAGGTATTCGTCCACTAAGTTGTATTACCAGCCCAACTAGTTCATTCTTATAAAAGTAGTTGATGGGCTGGAGAGATGGTTCAGTGGTTAGCACTGGCTGCTCTTCCAGAGGACCCACATTATGGCTCATAATGGTCTGTAACTCAAGCCCCACAGGAGCCAATTACCTTCCTCTTCTGCTCTCTGTGGGCACAGGAACACATTGGTGCACAGACATGCATCCAGGCAAAACACCCATACACATAAATATAATAATTAAAAATTAAAGTAATTGATAACATTCTACTAAGATTTGGTTTACTCCGGTGGGAGACATATCTCCTTTGTCCCACTTTGGTTGGCATGACAGGTAGAAAGAGCCAGAGTCATTATTTATTTGTAGCTGTCTATAAGATCAACTCCCCAGGTTGGAATGGAACCCACTGGATCTTTGTAGCAACTTATATAGCTTATAGTAGATATCTAATAAATGATCTGGACCAAAATAAAGGAAAATTTTATTAGGCAGTGATATGGTGATATTGCCCTCTCTTAGTTTTTTTTTTTTTTTTTTTTTGGTATATTTTTATCTATATAATTATAATCATTCATTCAATTCAAAGTACCATTTCCTTTCTAGCTGTTCTGGAACTCATTATGTAGACCAGGCTGTCTTTGAACTCAAGAGTTCTGGGATTACAGGTGTGTGTCACCAAGCTCAGCATTTTTTTTTTGACACTTGGTTTCTCTGTGTAGCCCTTGGCTGTCCTAGAACTTGCTCTGTAGACCAAGCCGGCCTTGAACTCACAGAGATCCGCCTGCCTCTGCCTTCCGAGTGCTGGAATTAAAGGCATGCACCACCACCCAGCTCATAAATTCTATTTTTAATTGGCTTTTTTCTTGTTGTATATGTTTTTACTAAGAGATAATTGGAGTTTTATATTAGACCTTTTCACAGACTTTGAATAGGCTCATGATCTGTGTTCTTTAGATTAGTATCATAGAGTATGATAGACAGTTTATGTAGATCTGAAGCTTATCTTTCTTCAGATAACTTTTTTGCTGTTGTTTTTTGAGACAGGGTTTCTCTGTGTAGTTTTGGTACCTGTCCTGGATCTCACTCTGTAGACCAGGCTGGCCTTGAACTCATAGAGATCCTCCTGGCTCTACTTCCCAACTGCTGGGACTAAAGGCTTGCGCCACCACTCCCCAGCACAAATAACTTATTTTTTAAAAAGGAAACAAACCTAAGCAGGTTTTTAATGAACACATTTGCTTTCCTCAGAACTGAGTTGCTGCCTCGTCCTACAGCCTGTAAGTGACTGTATTAGGAAGTTAAGTGTTCTTTTCTTTTAGTTACTCCGTGTTTGAATATCTTTAAAATTTTTTTAAAGATTTATTTATTTTTATGTTAATGGGTATCTTGCCTACATGCATATGTCTATGCATCATGTGTGTGTAGCACATGTGACAACCAGAGAGGGCGTTGGGTCCCCTGGAATTCTAGTTACAGGTGGACGTGAGCTGCCATGTGAGTGCTGAGATGGAACCCTGGTCCTTTGGAAGAGCACTCGGTGTTCTTAAGTGCGAGCCACCCCTCCAGCCACGATTTGAGTATCTTAACAAAAGAGAATTAGTACTCAACTGTTTGATTTGTGCTCACTGAAGAACACTGTTTCCTACCAGATCACAAGATTTCTGTTGTGAAGGCTGTGGCTCTGCCATGAAGGATGTCCTGTTGCCTTTAAACTCGGGAAGTGATTCAAGCCAGGCTGACCAAGAAGCCAAAGAACTGGCGAGACAAATTAGTTTTAAGGTACTGTAAACTTCGGAACAGATCCGTTTATGTAGCCTTTTTGTTTACTGCTGAATTCTAGATAAAAAGGAAAGTAATACAGTTCTATTGACATGAGATTTTTAGAAATAATGTTTTCTTACTACAAAACGTGTAAGCTATACTCATGCAGGCATTTGGGCATAGCAGTTAAAGCTAGACTAGTGTATAAGACTGCATTCAGAGCCGGGCGGTGGTGGCGCACGCCTTTAATCCCAGCACTAGGGAGGCAGAGCCAGGCGGATCTCTGTGAGTTCGAGGCCAGCCTGGGCTACCAAGTGAGCTCCAGGAAAGGCGCAAAGCTACGCAGAGAAACCCTGTCTCGAAAAACCAAAAAAAAAAAAAAAGACTGCATTCAGATCTCAGCTTTGCTGTTTACTGGCTGACATGTCAGACATAGTACTTTACCATCATGTGTCCCCTTTACACCCATAAATAATAATAGTACCTCCCTGTCGGACTTTGTCAGGATATGCTAATTAACACAGAACACATGGATTATAGTTGCATTTAGAACTAACCCTAGTGTTTACTACATTCTAGTTCTCTTTCCCTCCCTTCCTCCTGCCCTCCTGCTCTTCCTTCCTTCCTCCCTTCCTTCCTTCCTCCCTCCCTCCCTCCCTCCCTCCCTCCCTTCCTTCCTTCCTCTCACTCTGTAGACCAGGCTGGCCTCAAACTCATAGGGATCCGCCTGCCTGTGCCTCCCGAGTGCTGGATTAAAGGTGTGCGCCACCACCTCCTGGCTATACTTCTCTTATCCACTACATCCTGACCACAGTTTCCCTTCCCTCTACTACTCCCGGTCCCTCCCCCAACCCCTGCTCTCTCCAGATCCATTCCTCCTCCATTTCCCTTCAGAAAAAGGGCAGGGCTCTCAGGCTATCATCTGAACATGTCCTAATGAGATACAATGAGACTAGGCACAGACCTCATCAAGGCTGAGGGAGGCAAGCCAGGAGGAGGGAGAGCAGTACATGTGAAAGGAGCAATGCGGGTTAATCTAGGAGAGGGTCAGTCGATTGCTAAACATTCATTTCTTCTTATAACACTGCTCTTGGCTGTACCTTATTTACAGGCCGAAGTGAATTCATCTGGAAAGACTATCGCTGAATCAGACGGAAACCACTCTTTTTCACTAAATGAGTCACAAGATGATTTACCTACAGCATTCCAGGGTGCTACAGCCGGCACATCGGTATGGCTCTTATCCTTTAATACACACCCACACACCACCCAAATCACATGACACACATATACTACACCCCCCACATACCACATCCACACACACCATACACACATGACACCCCCCACACAAACATGTGCCACATATACACACGCGCGCACACACATATACATACAAATACACAAACACCCTCCTCACACACTCCACATACACACACACACCCCTCCATGCACACAAACCTACACTATTGTTTGGAGTAAGGTAAGATGCTTCTAGATCAAATACTGAAAATTGTTTTTCTTAATAGTAGGATTTTAGCCCAGCTGCCCCACTAATTATGTTGTTTTGAACAAATCTTTCTGGACTTTAGTTTTTTTTTGTTAAGTGGGGTTGTTTGGATGAAATAGTTTTACCTATCTTTCTACCTCAACCTCCAAGTGCTGAGATTACATGCGTGTTTTAAGGATTGTTTTCTAAATGTATTAATCATACTAATATGATTAATATTAGGCCAAGAACTATCCTAAGTAAATTCACAACCTAAATCTGAATGCCTTCAATAGGATATGTTAATAGTAACAATATTAGTAATGATAAACATTTAATAAGTAATTATGTATCATAAGCACTTTATATCATTAATCCATTTAATCCTCACAGCTGCTGGATTGGATACTATTGTCATTGTAGGGATGGCGGGGCTGAGGCCTGGGCTAAACAGCCGGCTTAGGAACACAGTGATAGTGTCATCATGTTTTCCCAGAACCTGCTCCTCACCATCCAGTGGTGGTGCATACGCCTTTAATCCCTGCACTCGGGAGGCAGAGGCAGGCGGATCTCTGTGAGTTCAAGGCCAGTTTGATCTGCAGAGCGAGTTCTAGGACAGCTAGGGCTACAGGGCTACAGAGATAAACCCTGTCTCGCTGGGCAGTGGTGGTGGCGCACGCCTTTAATCCCAGCACTCAGGAGGTAGAGGCAGGCGGATCTCTGTGAGTTTGAGGCCAGCCTGGTCTACAGAGCGAGATCCAGGACAGGCACCAAAACTCACAGAGAAACCGTGTCTTCAAAAAAAAACAAACAAAAAAAAAGAGAAACCCTGTCTCAAGAGAAAAAAAAAGAAAGGGAAGAACCTGTTTCCTCGCTGGGTATGGTAATGCATGCCTACAGTCTTAGTACTGGGGGCGGGGGGCGGGGGACGGAGGCAAGAATGTTCAAGGCCAGCTGGTTACCAGCCGTGTGTTCTCTTTAAGCCATAGTCCCTGGATCTACTGAATACTTTTATGCTCTTAACTGAGCGTCAGGATGCAGAAGTTAGACTGTAGTGTTCCTGTGTTGGCTGCTGTAACTCGGTTCACTCATTGAATGTTGGTTCACTTGCTGCATGGTGTTTGTGATGACATGTCACCATACTGAAAGACCCTAACCCTTTAGGCTTACACCCCCTAAGCCCCAGGAGAATGAGGAACTAAAAAGCTAGTTCCAAGGGCAAACTGACTCAGCCATTACTCAACCACCCTGCCACAATGTAACAATGTAAAGATTTCTGTTAAGAGGTGCACTCAACTTTGGGTTAATTTCAAGTGTTCCAGGAAAGACCACTGTAACCTTTGTGTAACTCTCATTCCCACCCTGATACCCTCCTTGAGGTTTCGGGAAGAATGTGCATGCAGATGTGACTGTACCCACTCTGTGATCAGACCATGATCTTGTGAAATTAGCCTCTAGACATAAATCAATCGAAACGAAATTGTATGGGAATTGTAATCTTATGGCTTTTGTGGGTTTTTTCCTTTAAAAAGTACCCATGTGGCTGTAGTAGGCACGACTCTTGCTCTCAGGACAAGAGTAGCCTGACTGAACAGCCGCATCAATAAACCTCTTGCTGTTTGCATCAACTGGACTGGAGTCTGGGTTCTTGGGGCGCCCACCCGAGAAGGTAGTACCCTGGGTCTGGGGTCTATCAATACAACATTGAGTTTTATGTGTCTGCACTCTTCAGTGGGCAGATTGTCCCTTGGAATCCTAGATTGTACAAGTCTTAAGGTGCAGCTTTTAACTCAGCATTGGTACTACTTTAAACTCAAATTCACCAGTACTTTCTTTTTAACTCTGTGTTATGGGTTAACTACATTACGAAACGCCAAAGAATAATTTTAAGAATTTCAGATTATCTAAGCTTTATTCCTATGCTAGGGATCAAACTCAGGTTTTTGTGGATGCTGGGAAAGCGCTCTGCCATTAAGGGGCACCCCACACCTTTGTATTTTGAGATGGGGTCTTTCTTGGTATGTAGCACAGGTTGGCCTTGAGTTTATCATCTCCCTGTCTTCACTCTCGAGTGCTGCTGTTACAGGCGGGAACTACCAAACCCAACTAACATCTTGTAATGTGGAAACGAAAGGCAGGTTTCAGATAGAAATTCTTTTTCTTTCTTTCTTTTTTCTTTTTTTTTGGTTTTTCAAGACAGAGTTTCTCTGTGTAGTGTTTAGAGCCTGTCCTGGAACTCACTCTGTAGACCAGGCTGGCCTTGAACTCACAGAGATCCACCTGCCTCTGCCTCCTGAATGCTGGGATTAAAGGCGTGCGCCACCACCGCCCGGCTCAGATAGAAATTCTGTAAGTAACTTGGACCAGTGGTTTCCTCCTCGTATTTAAAGCTGTTGCCAGCACAAAGCTTACACTCTCAATGATTAAAAGAAGAATTTGGGTTATATTATTTGATTCTTTTAAGTGTTTATGTTTTCGCTATTGGAAAGTATTTGAGATATGTTGTATTTAATCCATATTCTTCTGAGTAGACCATTCTTGTTTCTTGTCTGAAAAGATGAGTATGTTCTAGTGGTGACAGCCACTCTCGGTGAAGCATTAAAGGCCATTGATGCAGTTGAGGCAGGTTAATGAGTCTGAGCTTAATCCATACATTGTGTGGCTTCTTTGAATGTGCTGTTGCCAGTTTTATTGTCTCCAAGGCAGACTTAAGGTTTTGAAATCCTGTGTCACGTTAAGATTGTCTCCTGACTGAGCGGTCCTTGAGGTAACCAGAAGACGCCACCACCCAGTGCTTTGGGGGAACAGCCATGTACAGAGTTGAGCACACTGTGGCACTCATACCCAGGGCACTCTTGACAACATAAACTAGATACTTTTGGACTTGTGTTTAGCTCACTTGTCTGGGATTATGGGAGAGGACAAGCTGAGTTTGAAAACAAGCACATTTTCACAATAGCAATATGAAAATTTGTGGTTTAAAATTCCTTCCTTACTATGCTTGATGGAAGTATGTCAACGTGATAGGTAAGGTTATACTGAAGAAGTCAGGTTCACCAAAGGTAGACGGCTTGGAGTTGCATTCTTTCTACTATTTGTAATGGGTAATTTTCAAGTTGAAAGTGGAGAACCTGCTTTTCTCCTCAGATCTTGGGAAAGAAGAGCAGCGACCAGATGCTTGGCAGAAACGGCCCTTGCGTCAGCCATCTGGGGAGAAACAGCGGCAGCACCTGTGTCTGCTGATAAATGGGCTCCTGCACCTCATGAGTGCTCGCGATAGCTCACGTTTCTGGCTTATTCATCAGGGTTGCTTCCTAGTCTCAGTGTTCACATGGTTCTTGGTAGATTGACCTTAGTCATATTTAATACTCTACATATTCTTAAACTGTTAATGAGTGCACACACACACACAAAATGTGTTTATTTTATTTTGCCAATTTCAAACAGATTTTCTTATTGTTTCCTAGTATGGAGCCCAGAATCCATCTGGAGCACCCTTGCCACAAGCTACCCAACCGGCTCCTAAGAATACCTCCATGAGCCCTCGACAGCGCCGGGCCCAGCAGCAGAGTCAGAGAAGATCTTCTACTTCCCCCGACATGATCCAAGGCCAGCCGCCTAGAGCCAACCATACTGAGCATGGCGGGTCTGCCATGCTCATCGTCATCCTGACTTTGGCATTGGCAGCTCTTATATTCCGACGGATATATCTGGCCAATGAGTACATATTTGACTTTGAGTTATAATGCTGGTTTGTGACTTAAGAGCTGAGACTCAGTTGCTTCATTAAACATTCTGCATTGGGTATAACCTAAGGATTGTTTACAAAAAGATTATTTTGTATTTACCCTTCATTCCTTTTTTATCGTTATAAATTCATTGTGCTATAGGCAGACATTCAGGCTGTGGTCCAGCAGTTTGTTGCTTAGATTAAGGGACTGGAAGCCACAGTTCCTTGTCTTACTATTTAATCTACTTCAAAACAAGTAACTTATTGTGGTTGCTCACACCCGTGCTGCTTTTCATAGATTTGCAATGCTTTTCTATGCAGTCCTTTGGAGTTTCAGATAAAGGTGGTGTTTGTACATCTGGAGTATTGCTGGGTACTCAGTGTCACTCACTGAGTTCTGTCTCTAGCTCTGTAGAATGAGAAGGGATAAAGAGCGGCAGAGGGAGGGCAAATTACTCACTAACTTCTTGAAAAGTATCATTTATAGGAGAGACTGGGATTGCCCATTCTGTGATCTTTGTATTTGAGACTTTGTTCGGTGAGAGTAATTTTATTTCAGACATTTATGAAGATCTTTGTTATATTTTTGTTTTTGGATATTACTTGAAGAGAAAAGACTTTGTAGCCACTTTGATATGCTGTTATCACTTCTAATATGCACACAAATGAAAAGAAAACAGGCCTTTATAACCCTGTCATATGGAAGAAAGGGTCCATGCAAAGAAATAGTTTGATATTTTCTTTCACAAGTTAGGTGAGGAGATCATAAAGTTGGAATATTTGCTCTGCTTTCATTTGTACATGGTTTGAATTATATTATATGCCCAGCTCTGTAATCACTATAGCTTTTAATTATTCTAGGAATATACATAATATTCAGATTTTAATAGAAAAACTCAGGGCCTAAGAGAGATTAAAAAACCAACTTTTATTTAGAATTCTTCACTAATCAAAGCCAAGAAAGATTTCAGTGGAAAAGTTTATCTGTCCCTTAGTGCCAGCCAGTCCCCCAGATGCTGACATCTAATTTTGTCATCACAGTGCCTAGTGAGACCACTTGAGGCAATATTGCCAGCAGCATGTTCTTTCAGCAACCTTGAGGGAGCTCTTGAGGGTCCTGTATTAATGATTTAACTGGAAAATATAGACAGTCCCCAGCTTTTAAATATATCATGCTCTCAAAGCCCTTTTTTTGTGGTTTTTCAAGACAGGCTTTCTCTGTGTAGCTTTGCGCCTTTCCTGAGACTCACTTGGTAGTCCAGGCTGGCCTCGAACTCACAGAGATCCACCTGGCTCTGCCTCCCGAGTGCTGGGATTAAAGGCGTATGCCACCACCGCCCGGCTCAAAGCCCATTTTTAAGCTTTTTTTTTTTTAAGACAACTGAATATAAATGGTATTTGGGTTCTAGGTCAGTCCACAAAGGTTAGTTAGCTCATACATATTTTAAGTATGATTGGGAGGGTAGTTGTAAAGTCTTTATGTGGTTTTAACTAAATACAATTATGGGCAAGGTAAAAACAGCTCACAAAATCATTTTAAAGGTGAGTTTAATTTTCAGTCCTATTATGTGATTTGGGGTCTGTTAACCATTGAACATAATTTCCATTTTTATTTGATAGCCAGTTTTTGTTGTGTCAACACCTAAAATTTAAAAAGGTACTGTATGCTATAATATAATCTTAACATTTAAATAGATTTACAGTTTAATAGATTAGTATTTTATAGTTCTTCAAATTGTTTATGTCTATATATGAAATTGGTAAAGTCTAAAAATCCCAGGAACTTTGTGATGACCTCATGTCAGGAAGACTATAGGTTACCAATTTTTTAATTTTCTTGCCATGAAAAAATATATTCTGAGGTCTTAGTTTATAATACCAGATATGAGAAACATTGGGTCAGTGGTCTCCTAGAGAGAAGCCAGTAACCCACTGGAAGCCTGGATGGCCTCCCCACGTAGGAGAGAAGCCCTGCACCGTCACCCTGTGCTGAGATGGCTCATGCACTAGAGCGGTCTTCCTCCCAGTCAGACTGGCAGCCTTTGGAGCTCTGTGATCTTGCTGCATCTTCTGGGGGCGCCTGTGCTAAGCACTGAAGTTGCTCTGTGATTTCATCCTTTCTCCCTCCCTGTTGCTAACCGGCTACCTCCTTACGTGTGTTGGCATTTCTTTTTAGCACTTGATACACACATCAAAGTGGTACATTGTGCTTTTTTCCCTCATCCCTATCTAAAAAATTGTTCTTCCACCCCCACCTTGGAGTCAGTGAACTCACTGAAGGGCCTCTGTCATTAAAGCCTCAGTTTAGCCCTTTAGTTTCAGCTTAAGGCCCAAACCATGTAGAAGCTGGTAGGTAAAGTCTTAGGATTCCCATTTCCCCAGTTCTCAGATTTCAGAACTCAAGGCTTCTTCACTGACCAGCATAGCATATGACTACACATCAAGGTAGTTAAAATAGCATGCTTGAAAAATATGCCTGTTTTGCTTGTAGCGGTCTAAGCCCATGAGCCTTCCAAATCTTCTGTATGTGGGGAATTTATGTAGCACTTTACATTTCCATGCTGCTGATTGTTTTATTCTACTGAAATAAATGATTTCACCAAGCTTCTCAATGAATTAAAAAAAGTAATTTATTGATTTTACTATGAAAGTGACAAATTTCCCTATTTCAGGAGAATAAGAACTCTGTTTATTCAACTTTGGTTTATGAAGAAACATGTGGTATCTTGAGATTGCCCTTTTTTTTGGTTTTTTTTTTTTCGAGACAGAGTTTCTCTGTGTAGCTTTGCGCCTTTCCTGGAACTCACTTTGGAGACCAGGCTGGCCTCGAACTCACAGAGATCCACCTGGCTCTGCCTTCTGAGTGCAGGGATTAAAGGCTTGCGCCACCACCGTCCGGCAAGATTGCCCATTTTTATAGACCAGAATCTAAAACTTCACATGCCTGTTCTTATGGGGACCTAGGGTGAAGTGTTGAAAAGCCTACATTGTTCTGATACCTGCAAATAAGTACATATCAAGTGAATACAGAGTGACCGTGACATTTGTGTGACTTCCTGAGGTCATGAGAACAAATACCTATTCACCTCAAACAGGGCACCACCCCAGACCACAAAATAGTTCCACCCACGACTGGTAGTGGACCAGTGACAACAGCATAGCTTGGTTTTGACCGAAGGTTGAGTTCTTTGCCATCTAATCTTACCTCTTGTCCACATTCCTTCAAGTACCATGCCTGGACTTCCACTTTGTGCTTTTTGCCACTTTTCATTAGCCACTTTCTAATCTGTGCAGTTACCTCTGGATCTCCTCCAGTCTCTTGCCATTCTTTATAAACAGCCAATCTTCATTCAGTACACCTGCCTCTGCCTCTGCCTCTCCCGTTGCCTAAACCCATGCTGTCCATGACCAGAGTCCGGCTTCAGCTAATGCTGCTGGGGTCTCCCAGTCTCTGAGCTTGGGCCCATGGACCTGACCCCTCTGTCTTCAAATGAGCCAGCGTTACAAGCTAGACTATTCATAGCCTGTGCCAGACAAAAATTAAGTCAAAGGGAATCATAGACTCCAATGTAAGAACTACAGCTAGTGGCAGTCGCCTTTAATGCCAGCACTGGACAGGCAGAGCAGAAGCAGGCAGATTTGGAGTTCAAGGCCAACTTGAGCTACATATCCAGACCCCATGTCAAAACTCAGCAGCTACAGCTATAAAACCCTTAGAAGAAACTGTCTTTGCCACCCTGGACTAGACTGACTTCGCAGCTACAGGTTCAAAAGTACAAAGAACCAAAGAAAGAGATGCTATAATTCATTGAAATATTTTTTTTTCAAAGAATCTTTATTAAGAAACTGACAGCTAGGCTTTAGCTGGGCTTGGTGGCACAAGCCTATGTCACCAAGAAACACAGGCATGTGCCACCACAGGCACCAGGAAGCAGGTGGACTGTTGTGAGTTCCAGGCATCCCAGTCTACATAGCCAGTTCCAGGCTAGCCAGGGCTGCATAGTGAGATCTTGTCAAAAAACATAAACAAACAAAATATATATATCACATTACAACTCAATACTAAAAAAGAGCTTGATTTAAAAATGACAACAGATTAGAAGCTGGGCACGGTGGCACACACCTGTAAACCCAGGATATGGGAAGTAGAGGCAGGACGATCAATTCAAAGTCCTTGGCTACATAGTGAGTTTGAAGCTTGCCTGAGCTGCATGAGACCCTATTGTAAAACAAACACCAAATCAAAACAAAACATGAAATAAAGCAAAAAAACTGAGAACAGATTTGAATAGACATTTCTGCAAAGATATATAGATGGCCTGTGTGCATCTGAAGAGAAGCTCTACATCATTATCGGGAAGCTGCACATCAAACCACACTAAGATACCACTTCAGAAGTACGGCCAGGATGCTTATAACTAGACTCTGAACTCCAGATAAATCGTGGTGCAACCTGTGGTCCCAGCACTTAGGAAGTTGAGGCCAGCTTGGGCTACATAGTAAAACCCAATCTTAAAAGTGGGGACGCAGTTTGGGGAACGAGCACTGTTGCCCTTGCAGAGACGGGGTGTGGTTCTCAGCACTCAGGTGGCAGCTTAAAACTATCTCAACTCCAGTTCCCAGGCGTCTTAGGGTTTCTATTGCTCTGAAGAGATGCTATGACCACAGCAACTCTTATAAAGGAAAAGATTTAAATGGGGCTGGCTTACAGTTCAGAGGTTCAGTCCATTATCATCATGGTGGAACATGATAGCTTGCAGTCACACATGGTGCTGGAGAAGCAACTGAGTGTCCTACATCATGTGCAGGCCACAGGAAGTGCTCTGTCTCACTGGGTGTGGCTTCAGCATATATGAGACCTCAAAGCCTGCCTCCACAGTGACACACTTCCTCCAACAAGACCACACCTCCTAATAGTGCCACTCCCTTTGGGGGCCATTTTCTTTCAAATCACCCCACAGTATCTGACACCTTCTTCTGACCTCCTTGGGTACAAAGCACGCACAATGTTCATACGCATACATGCAGGCAAAATACTTAGAGATCTTTCACACACACACACACACAGCCAGATGACTGTCAAAAATGTGAAGAAATTGGAATCCTGTATTTCTGGTGAGAATGTAAAATGGTGCAGCCACTTTCAGAAATAGTTTAATGGTTCCATAAAAAGTGAAACATGAAGTTACTGTATGTCCCGGGAATCCCAGTCCATTTTTGTATCCTGAAGAAAAATGTAGGCTCAGTGATTAAAGGTCCTTGCTGCAAAGCCTGGCAGCCTGAGTTTGATCCCAGGGTCCTACACTGGTTGGAAGCAGAGGACTCGCCCCTGCCTGTTGTCACCTGACCTCTGTACACATGTGGCTCACACCAGAAACGTCTCTATACAGACAGAAACAGACGTTCATGGCATTATGGTTAAAAGTGGAAACAGGCTGGTGAAGAGAGAAACAGCATGGCTTCCACCTGTACGAGGGATATGTGAGGAAACATGCTACAACATAGATGAACCTTGAACACCTTTCACTGATACATGCTACAACATAGATGAACCTTGAACACCTTTCACTGATACATGCTACAACATAGATGAACCTTGAACACATTATACTGAATCATACTATAACATAGATGAACCTTGAACACCTTTCACTGATACATGCTACAACATAGATGAACCTTGAACACATTGTGCTGAGGAAAGCCAGCTACAAAAGGCTATGCGTCGTGGGATTTTATTTCCATGAAATGTCCAGAACAGACAGATCCTGTAGGGAAGGTTTGTGGCCGACAGGTGGAAAAGGTGGTCAGGACTGGCAGCAAACCCCTTTACCTGCTCAGCCGCCTCACAGCCCCACGTACCCATTGAGGACATTGTAATTAGGTTTCCCAAAGTCATTCACAACCAGAACCACCAGCTGAGCCAGAAACCATGGTCTGGTTCCTAGATCCAGTAGCCTGTGCTCTGTTCTCACCATGCTGGGCCTCCTGTGCTGACGGACTGACTCCCAGTCAGCTTCTCAGCTGGTTCTTCATGTTTCCAAGTCTGGCTCCCCATCCACTCCTTATCTGTACAGATGTTACTGTTATTAAACTTGGGGTACACAGCCTGTATGTAACCCAAGAAGCCAAGTTCAGGGACTCATTCTCAAGAAACAGATTACCAAATCAGCCAAATTACTAGTAAAAGAAAAAAGAAAGGAAGGAAGGAAGAAAAGAAAAAAGAAAAATGATTTATTCAGTGTAGCCACATTGGGAAGAGGGACAGAGATCCATTTTGGGGGTCCTGAAGTGAGATTAAAGTCTTAAGTACAGGCCAGGGATATGCACTTTTAAGCAGTCTGAGTTAAACTGTGGTCCCACCTACCATTGACCTGTCATTGTTAGGGCTCTAGTCTCATTCCTGAAGGCTGTCTGGCAAGTTGTAAATCTCTTCAGGAGACAAGCTTCCCATTCTGGCTGGCACCTTCTTTTCTCCCAGCATGAAATTCCTGAGGGAAATTCCCACTTGGGGGGTCCATTGGCCCTTGGTGGGGTAGCCACCTTGACAGAAAAGAAAAAAAATAGTTTCTCACATCTAGGCTGTTACACCAGCTGCCTGTTGGCTCCAATGGTCACACAAATTATAGGAGTCCAAATTTATCTCCTCTGGGACTGGAGAGATGGCTCAGCTACATATCTTTACATACATACACTTTCCACATGGCTCCACATCTTTCTTTTACATACATGTCTCTTCTGCATCTCTTTTCCATACAGCTTCGTCTTCCTTACCTCACACAGTTACAAATCTCCACACAGCCACAGCCGAACATCTCATTGACAGAGCTCTCTCCCCATACAGCACTTTACACAGTTCCTAGGCACAGCTCCTCTATGTAGCAGCAGCTCTTACATACAGTTCTCTCTTTCACACTCATTCACACACATACTTCCTAGATTATTCACTCAGTCTTTCCTCAGTCTTTCACCCACTCACGCCCTCACACTTCACTCATGCTTCTTCTTCATGTCTCACTTAGCACATACACACGCACACACACACACACACACACACACACACACACACACACACACACACACATACATACTCACATTCTGCAGCAGCTCTCATAGCTCTACACAGCCTTCTCTTACCACACCACCGCTGCTGCTCCCCCTCAGCCAAACCGGACAATTATAAGTTACATTTTCAGGGCCCTACCCAGTCTCAAAACACAAGGTAAGTCATGTAGCTTCTCTTAGCTAGTAAGTCACATTCGCCCATGCATATAGCTCTAAGTTGGTGAGGATTCCCAGACAGTAGACAATTGGCTGAACGTTGAGCGGTCAGGGTACATGCAGAAAGGGAGCTACTGCAAGGACTGTGTCTAGATGTAAACAGCCTGGCCTTGATTTAGCAGTAAACAACACCTGGGAATAAGTCTTGGTGTATATTCTTTAGGGGCAGCTTAGTCTGTTTTGGACTAGTTCTAAGGTCTTTGTAAAATGTGTAAAAGGCTGTCTTTGAGACTGAGAATACAGTTACTTTCCTGTGTCAGTAAAGAAGGATATTCTGGTAATATTTCTGTTCATCAGAATTACACAGCTTAAACAGAAATCCACAGCTAACCGAG